ACACCGCGAGAAAAAAAAAGACAGAAAACAGCTTCTCTGCTTTGTCGTCCGACAAGCGTCAGGTTTCCACCTCTGTCTCCGAGCTCCAGCACTTTGGAGTTTAAATGTAACTAGGCTGCGCAACTTGTGAAGAAACGGTGGTGGGATAACTGACTGCTGGAGAAGCTCAAGCTAAACTGCAAAAACGTGTAAAAATGAAATCAGGTTTATATATTTGATCGCTTCATAAATGCAGGTGAAATCATTTGTTGTTATTTTTGCAACGCTGAGGACTCACTGTGGTCAGAGCCGAACAGTGCGAGAGCTCAGAGGAACCAGGTCTGAACTGCAGGTCTGTGGTGACCTCTAGTGGCAGGACTGAGGCACTGCTCTGTATCTGGAGTGTTTTCAACTCATGTAGCTTCAATCAAAGAAGTTCCTCCCATTTAATCATGTGTTTTCTTGGTGATTATGTACTCAAATATTAAACCTTGACAAAATGTAGTTTGAATAGTTGTGTGTTTGTGTTTGTTTGGGTGTTATTGCTGCTGAGTAAATGCCTGATAACTACTTATTTTCATGATTTTTCAAAATAGGAAGATGTGTGATTGTTTTTTTTTTCCCTCTTGGTGACCCGCAGCCTCCGTCCAAATTAAGTGAGCCTCCTTCAAAATAAAGAAAAGTCTCTGCAGCAAACTAAAACTCCACCAGGTCAAAAACACTCACCTGCTTTGGACTTGAAAAAGCTCTGAAATCAGCAGCTGTGGTCAGTCTGGCTTCCAGTGGTGTCCAGTTTTTACTGCTGAAAAAAAAGCATCAAAACACTTTATATCCACTCACCCTCTGTCCATCTGGAATATCATGTTCAAAACACTCACTTCACAATCATCACTAGGTCCTACAGGCTTCATTAATACACCTGTGTTAGTGTGGCCATGTTGGACTGCCCACCTCCTGCTCTCTTATAGGTCAGAGGACCTGCTGATCTCAGTCCCTTTCACCTGGTTTGGTAATTTGCTGTCCATACCGACTACCCAGTCTGGAGGATTTGGGTTTCCAGTCTGCATGTGGACTCACATGTGGATCCAGATGTGGGTAGATGCGTGCTCATGGTGTTGTTCTGAATGAGTCGCCTGAAGAGACGGACACAAATAAAAGCCCATAGACACCGACTGTCCACGCACACAGGTGTCTGCAGTGATTTTGGTTAGTTAACCTCTGTCGTTATCATTCTTTATGGATTTTGGTGAGCTCAGCAAACTCCCAGAATGCCTCTGGCCAGCACCAAACCGACCTCTGAGGATGTGCAGAGACTTTCACGTTTTATTTTCCAGGTTTCTTCTTCTCCCTCGTGATCTTCACATTGATTTTTGTGCCGTAACAGAAGAAGAAACAGCTTCTAGTTCTCCTCCTATGAAACACAATAGCCTCCATCAGGAAGTATTTCTGTCCTGGACCTTAATGACCCGACCACATTAAAACCATTCGGACCAACTGGTGGTTTCTGAAGCGGAACGATTTACAGGTGCAAACAGAGTAAGCTCGATGAAAGACTCCCACACCTGCTGCTCTTTAAACTGCTCCATTTCAAATCTGATTGCAAATAAAGAAAAAACAAAAGAACCGTTTTGCTCGTTACTGATGAAGCCACTTCACCTGTAATGGACCTGGACTCTGTTCCTGTCTCTTTTTCACGTTCCTCCAACATCTGTGCACGTTGGCCACTGCAGAAACACGTCAAACCTCCAACACACACACCCACACACACACCCTACACTTGTGAGGACGCCCATGGACAGAACACAATATATTATGAAGGTACTGAACTTATATCTTAGATTAGTCTGGTTATAATTCTGTATTATTGTTATGGTCAACAAATCCCATGAAAACTCACATCTTATTCCTCATGGAGCTCCACTGCTGCCCCAAATACTCACTAGAGCACCAAATGTGGATTCATCCGCCACTGAAAATAGTCCCCAATAAATGCAGTTTCCTCTTGTTTGTTTGCTGAAACAGTTTTAAAAATAAAACATTGTATTTGTGAGGGTTTTTAAAGATTTGCATCTTCAGTAGGAACCAAGGTGTTTGAAGCTGAGAGACACAGACAGAGGAGGGAGGCAGGAAGTGTTGAGAGACGGACGAACACTTTGTTGGTTTTGGTCTTTTCAGGGGATTTGTTGATGAGAAAAATACAGAATGTCACCAGTCCTGTTCTGTAGGGACAAAGACTGCCTGGTTCCTGAGCAATAACAGCTCAAATCAAGTTATTTTCCAGCCCCTTTTTTTAAATTTTGTTAATTTCAAAATACTGTCCACAGTAGGAAATGTTGTTTTTCTTAATTACACCTCACTCACTTCTCACACTTTCGTTTCTCTATTTCAAATTCAGAAAGAAAAAAAAGGGAATTTAAGTAAAATTTTGTTTAAATTCACATTAACAAACATCTATTTATGTTCACAGATACAAAAGTATGTTTTAGATTTAACTCGCACACTCACAGTCACTCACATACAGACTCCTTATGAACCCAGTAAATAAAGCAATTCAGCATCTGGGCTTTATCACAAAACAGGTTTAATTTAATATCTCTTTATTTTTTAAAATAATTAAACATTTGTATTTCTCCAACCCTTTTTTATCTTTTTTTCAGTTTTTAAATCATATTATTTCTGGGCCATTCTAAAGCACACATTAATTCTGCCAGGGAGGAGGGGGGAGGTTCACTGTCAAACTCCCAACAGGGCAAAGTGGTCTGCTCCGTGCTTTCCATCCATCCCTCCCTCCCTCCCTCCCTCACTCCCCCCTCTGCTCTGACCCCCCTCCCCCTGCCTACCTGCCCACACCCTCACCCCTAAACCCCTCCCCACCCTCCCCCAACTAAAAAAAATATATCCAATGGTCAAAAGAAACTTCAGCAAAATATCCAAAATGAGATAAAAACCAAGAGAAGAGGGAGGAGTGAGAGACAGAAAAGAAAAAAAAAACAGACTAAAAGGGGGGAAACACTATCATAAATACCAGGAAGTCTTCTTCCATAATACCTCTTTATATACTGGATACTCCTCTCCACAGTTTCCTAAGCAAAAAACATAGGCTAAATTACTACAAGATACAAGATTATCAGTGTACTGCATTCAATAACAATGTACAGGGTTGTCTTTTTTTGTCACTGTTGCTGTAATACTGTGAAGTCAACGCGGCGCCCCCCCCAGGTGAGGTGGGGTGAGGTGGGGGCACTCGTCTTTTTCACAACATGAGGAAGATTTTTGGCGCTCCTCTGAAGACTTTTTTTTTTTGTTTTATTTTGAAGTCCCCGTTATGGCCGGAGGGTACCAGTGCCAGACTGATACCAGGGAGACCTGGTATGGTTGGTTGGTAGATAAAGAGGGAGGGAGGGGAGGGGTCAGAGAGAGAGAGAGAGAGAGAGAGAGAGAGAGAGAGAGAGAAAAAGAAAAAACAGATGGAGGGAAGGAGAGAAATAATCAAGGGATGAAAAGTAGTCCGTTTCTTTAAGGAGGAGGGAGGAGGTGGAGGTGAAGCGAGTGCGTTTACATGTCAACAGTTCTGCATTTCTGAATAATTCATCGTCTACATGCAGCGCCGCATCACGCCTGTGAGGGCAGAGACCAGAGGAAGGAGCACCGGTCACAAAAAGGTAAAAATAAATAACGGCAAACAGGATTTGAGATAAGCAGGATGTGAGCTCACTGGAGCAACGGCACAACAGGACACAACAACTCTTCCAAGATGGAAAGTATCCCAGGTGATGCAGCTCAGAGCCGCCTGTTCAAACGGCCCGCTGAATTAATCATTGCTGCATCTTGTTTTAATTAAAAAAAATCAAGCAGTTTGTAAAGGAGTTTTTTGTCCGAAGCCAAATATATGTACATGAACGGATAAAGAAGAGAGGCAGTTCAGGAATATAAAAAAACATTTTGAAGTTTAGTTCTGTAAACAAACAAACAAAAAGTTCTGTTAGTGTTAAAAAAAAGAGCAAATATTAATGGATTTCATTCCAGCTGTTATTTGGGATAATGATGTTCTGAGAGTTGGAACTACATTTACCGCCATGCTTGGATGAAGCGAAAGGGATGTACAACAAAGCCTTGGAGTCAGTCCTTTTGTTTTTACCCTATTTTTGTTTAACATTTCCTTCTGCAGGTCCTGTTTGAACAGTAACAATTAATGTACAGACACAATCTCCTGGATTTACTTTTAAACTGGAGAAAAACATTGAAACAGGATGATTTCCTGGCAGAATCTTATGTTAGAACAGTGTTTTTTTTCTATGGTTTGTAGGCAGATTAACAGACTTTATGGATGTTTGTCTGGAGTTCCTCTCTAACATTGTTTTTCTGGATCATTTTCAGAGGCCTGGAAGTGGAAAACGGGTTTCCACTCCAGAGAAGTGAAGATTAGATGAAAGTCCAAAAAAGTGAACTACATTTCTGACCGATTTTCCAACTGGTCAATCATCTTGCGTCAGATTTAATTGTGATAGAATTAATTATGTAATTTGAGGGAGGAGTTACTCAGCTGAGAGGAAGAAAAGTTCACTGAGCAGACGCACAAATTACAAATGTGAGGAATTAATTCATCAATAATTTTGCCTCCTCCAACCAACTGGACTCCATGAACTGCAGTAAGAACACACATGTAAACGCACTCAGAAAGATGGTTTTAAAATGTGTGTTTGTGTACCGAGAAAGTCCCTGTTGTTGTTTTTAAATGTGTTTTTGTTCAGTTTTTTTTTTCCCTGTTTAGAACAGGAAGGAGGGCCAGAGAGGAGGGGGTGGGGTGGGTGGGTGGTCCTTTAAGAACCTTTGGGCGGAGGGCAGGGGAGAGGGGCAGAAATGACAGATGCACCATTAGAGAGGAAGGAGGGAGGGAACAGAAAAATGGAGGCAACAGGAGGAAAAGCAAAGAGGAGAACCAGGAAAATAAAAGTTACATACAGGACTGTACTGAAGACGGAGGAGAATGGGATGAAGAGTTAAAATCAATCTATCTTCTCTTTTTTTTTTTTTGTTGTTTTCTGTTTTCCAAGAGTTCATTTCATGTCCTACAGTCCAAAGTTTTTTTTTGTTGATGTTTAAATCCCCCTCCCACACAAGTCATTTTCTCATTTTCTATTTTTTTCTTTCTTTTTTTTATTATTATTGTCTTGTTTTTCCGTTTGCAATAATATCAGTTTAAGGGAAAAAAAAGAAAAAATAATTATTTACAGTGCTGTTGAAATAATGAAAACAGACGTGATGAATCTACTGTAAAGTAAGTCGCATAAACACAGGAGAAAAAAAAAAAAAAACATAAGAAAAAAAACAAAAAAACAATTAAGAAACCAGCGGGCGCTCCGTGTCGATCCAGAGACGATGGCCTTTATCAGGGATTTTCGGAGCTCTGGGCAAACATGGCTGATGTGGAGGGGGGGCGGGGGCGGGATTTGGGGTCAGGATGGAGGGGGAAGGGGAGTCAGAGTAGGAGAGGAGGAGGAGGAGGAGGAGGAGGGGATGAGGGAGATGGGCAGGGGCAGAGGGGAGCGCGGCGCTGTCTTCGTTAAGTTGGGATGATCCCGTCGCTCCTAAGGCCCCGCTTCAGCTCCAAGTCCTCCAGCTTCTTCCACAGCTCCTCCCGCTCCTTCTCCTTCTTCTTCTCACTGCAACACACAAACAACACGAGGATGAGGATAATGATGATGATGATGATGATGATGATGATGATGAGGTTTTATTGACTGCTTCAGACTGCCTGAATGTAGGTGTCGTCTTCCTACAGAGCTACAGGACCTAATGGCACAAGGCGACAGCTGTACAAACTGCTGATGGGAACGTTGTTAGTTTTATAAATTAAATGAATGATCACTTTGACCTGAGCCTAAAGAAAAGTTGCAGGATCACCACCTGGGATCCATTCAACTTCATGGAAATCCATCCAATATGTGTTGAGGGGTCGACCACCCAACGCACCAACATTCAGACTCACAACGCTAAAAATATATTTTTTTTTCTGAATGTCGGGACTCTGTGCCGTAAACAGTTAAAGAGCGATGAGAAGCTCAGATCTCATTTCATCTCACAGAAGCAAGAATGATGAGAGTCAGTTCCACACAACAAGATTTGCAGATTTTAAACTGATAAAGAAAAAGAAAAGAGCACCAGTGTCTCATCACTGCTCTGTGTCGGCCAGTAACATGATCTGGTAACAGAATCAGGACTGGGTGGGGTGATGTAGTCCAGAGGTTCTCTTCATTTAATCCACAGACAGTTTCAACTAGTCATGTTGCCATTAATCCTGATACTAGTACAGTGTGATGATAGTAGCAGAGAGTGTGTGTTTTCTATCTGCAGAGATCATAAACAATCACATTATTTGTGAATGCTCGCTCAGTAATGATGATGATGGTGGTGATGATGATGATGGTGATGATGATGATGGTGATGGTGATGTGGACAGCTTCTTACCGCTGGCGGTCCGACTTGTAAGTTGCTGTGAGTTCATCGAATAAAGTACTGTTCATCTCCATGAAGGCCTTCAGGACGTTGTACACCAGCGCCACGATCGCCCTGAGGGGGGGGGGGGCAGAGTGACATCACAATTCACAGCTGATAACACAACTTCCACTTTTACAGCTTCTGTAAACTCTTATCATTACAAGTCGCTGAGTCTGTGACGTGTGGACAGATATTTGAAATATTACACATTAAAGAAACGTTTGATGGGAAAGTTGCAATAAAGATTTATGACGGATTATTTATTTTGTAGAATTTAGGTTCATTTTCGTTACAAGACACGTTTTATTCTGAAGGTGTCAGTGACAGTTTATTACAGAACAGAAGTGACGACGTCTGTGACCTTACAACAGCCAGGAAACTAATAGAGTGCAACAATAAACATTTACTCAAAGAAAAATTACTGAAAGATTTGAGTTTTTAAAAAAACGTTTGAATACATAAAAGATTTCCTCAAATATCTTCAGGTCAGAGACGACTTCAGTAAAGACATTCATCAAATGGAGAATTTGGTCGATATAGATCAGATTAAAGACACCGAAAACTGAAAACTGTAGATGACGATACTTTTTTTTCTCTCCACTTTGGCAAGATATCGCTAAATAAACAAGGAAGATTTGGGGAATAGAAGATGATTGGTCTTTTGTCACATTTGTCACATTAAACCTGGAGAATGTCCCAGACACACTCATGACTCAGGGTGAATTCATCTTGGCTGCTCGCAACAAATCATCACACACAAGCGGCTTCAGCCAGAACCTCCGACAAAAGACTGAACTGTGATTGTCAAAAGCATCGAGTTAATTTCCCAGGTTTTTTCCCCCCAAACTTTCCAGACCTGCAGGGGCGGGACTGTTTTGTTCACTCTCCATAATCACAGCCGATGTCTTTAAATGATTGTTTCAATCACCACGTTCATAACCTTTATTACACTGACAGACAAACTGCACAAGTGTTTTTAAGATCAGCTTTAAAAGGTCTTCAACAGTTTCTGATTATGAGTGATGGGTCCCATGTTACCACTTTCTATTCTCCCCTCTCTGTCGCTGCTTAAGTTCGATTCCTGATTCTCATAACAAATAATTACTAAAACTTTAACTCTGGTATGCGTTAGAGAAAGATATTTAAGATTACAAACCCAGATTTCAAGGGGCTCGGACTAATTTTCACCTGCTATTGTTTAATCCCATGAACTACAACGTTCTGTTTTCAGTGCAGTTTACAGTAAACTGGGTCATCATGTGGTGAGGACAGCCTCTGTCGGTAACACCCAGCAGGAAGAGGGGAAAAACCTGAGGAGCTGCTGATAAATGATCAGCCAGAAGATAAACCTAACACAATGTCTGGATTTTTTTTTTTTGAATATCTGTAAAAACGCCATCACACTGAGCTGCTGCTGAGTTATTTTAAAGCCACTCACGGATTCCAGTGCTCTTTGGAGATCCTGTAGAGGCTGGCGAACATGATGGGCAGGATGACACTGGAGTTCTCCTCGATCAGACTCATGATGTACTCGTTGTTCCAGTAGTACAGGGCTCGCTCTGCAACCTGGGGGAACACCGACACAGAGGAAGTGACGACCAGAAAAATCCAGAATCATTTGTTCTTTGTTCTATCTGTGTTTTAAAGAGTTAAACACATTCTGTAGACGCTTGTTTCATCACCCCCTCAGAGTTAAATCCCACTGTTTAAGGACTGGGGCTTTCTCTGACCTGGAAATGTGGGCTGGAGACACATCTGGAGATCTGTTTGAAGAGCGGCTCCTGGATCTTGACGAACTGTGTGGGTTCAATGACGTCCAGGATCTCCTCCAGCTCCCCTAGAAACATCACCTGGAGTGCAGGATGGGAGGAAAATGTTAATACACACAGAGACACACACACACACACAGTTTACACACACACGCACACATGAAGAAACGACAGCCTCACCTCTTTTTGACTGCAGGTTTTTGGCCAGAACTTCAGTAAGCCTCTGATGACCTGAGGATGAAGATAAGAGCCATTTATTATTTGTTTACATCAGTGAAGCTGGTGAGTTAAAGTCTGCATGACAAACAGGAGCGAAAACACTGGAAGAAGACATTTCTACTGCAATAAGGATTTGAACACAGTCCCTGTGGTTTGACTGAAAATTCTTAACTCAGTGTCGACTTAATAGCTTTTCCCAAAGCTTTCAAACACAGATGGCTGAGTGTCAGTGGTCACTGGGACGACTGAGCGACTGAAGCGACTGATATCCTCAGAAAAAGTTAATGACAAGATGCTGTTTTTTGTTTTTTTTTGGCAAACTGCTGTTTCCATGGTCGTAAAATGAACCTGCACTCTCAAGTCTTTGTGATTCAAAGGGACGTCTGAATGTTTTCATAGTGTCACTGAGCAATGACAAAGCAACAAAGACATAAATATGAAGCACAAAGGAGCAGAACTGATATAAATATATATTATATATATATATATATATATATATATTCCCACATGGTGGATTGAGAGATAGGCAGTGCACTGATACTCACTGGTTCTGTTAATGTTGGGTCTTTCTCTAGGAACTGTACAATGCAATACGCCAACTGCAGGGAGAGAAGAAACCACAGGTTAGAACGGATGTTACTGTGACATGTTTTAGCCCTTTAGCTTAGCTTAAAACAAAATCTTGGGTTTGACGGCATTCTACTGAATTTAAACCCCGTATTCAATCCACTCATCAAGTCTCATTAAGTAGCTTTCACCAGGTTTTATATAAAGAATGAAGCTAATTAATGTTGACGACCTGCGGCTCCAACCTGAACATGTGAGCTGAGCAGCAGATGATCTGACAGGTTTGATAACTGATTGATATTAGAGCTTCGGCTAGAAATGTCAAGCTGCTGAAGTGACCTGCGAGTTTTCAACACTGGTCTTTGTTAATTAAAAAAACGCCACAGCTCCTTACTTCAGGTTTCTTTTAAATTGTGAAATTACACGTTTAATGTGGCATGACACTTTGACACATATATGTACACACACAACTGAATGACTTTAAAAGATTGTGCAGGTTTAAAGTTTTACACCAACTCTGCATTTATAACTGTGGAATCCTACGTAGTCTCAAAAGTGTCAAAGAATGAACATTAAAACATATTAATGGAATATTTTTGAAATACTAGGATAGTTACCTAGAATAAAGTTTACACACACACACACACACACACACACACACACAGAACTATTACCTGTGCGTGGAAGAGGGACAGACTCCTGACAGTGTGGAGGGGGATCAACACTTTGACCAGAAACTGTTTATGCTCTGCTTTCAGTGGCAGAGCGAAACCATTGATTATACTGGAGGAGAGAGAGAGAGAGAGAGAGAGAGACACAGAGACAGAAGAGAAAACAGAGAAAATATAAACATAAATTAAACATGAACACATAAAAGGGTTTCATTGCGACTGTCTGAAAGCAAATGGTAGATCAATGAGCAGCAGACAAAAAGAAAGTCTGTGTGTATGGGCAATGGAGCCTGTAGGAGAAATAAAGAGATGTAAGTGATGTTGTAAACTTCGGGCCTGCAGAGAGCAGACGTGACGCGCCTTTAAAGCTGCACACTCTCAGAATGACAGCTGCAGTCCTGCACTGGGTTTGTTTACATTCTGATTCAAGTTTTCATCAGAGCTTCTGCTGGAAGAACAAACTGCAAAAACAAACTGAACCCAATCATTTTTGGGCTAATGAATGAAAGCATCATTTCATCATTTTCTTACACAAATAGCCTTCGTATTGTTTTCTACTTGTGCGAGGATTTTTGTGTAGAATCTCTCGTGTGTATGAAAAATTATGTTAAATTTATTGGTCGTTTAGTTTCTTCCTTTAACTCCTTGACTGAAAGCTCTGTGTCTTAAGTTTCCTTCTGTTTTTTAGGTTTAGCTCTGTAACTTCACTACGTTATTCACATCGTGGGCCCTTAGGGAGGCCCAGACCCCAAGGTTGAGAAACCACTGTCCTAAACTTGTGTTTGGTTTGACCAGCAGTTGCAAAATGCAGGTATTCCAATATAAAGGTCCCATATTTTACACTTTTACATTTGTATGTTTTCTGGTGTTGATCCATAAGAAGATATTTGCAGTTTTAAAAACCAAAAACCATCTCAATGTAGTTTTTACATCTCCTCTCTCAGGCTTCTGTCTAGAGTAACGAAAGGTCGGTGAGCCAATCAGAAGAGAGGAGGCTCTGAGCCTCTCTTCACGATGATACTTTCACAGCATTAATATAGAAACTTAGACTTGCTTTATAATCAAAAAAGACATGGACATCTACCTTCATACAATATGGGACCTTTATGAAATGAAAATCCATCAAGAGCTTCAAAGTTTTTGGATGAACTTTTTTAATCGTAACTTTTCATTTTCTATTCATCACTAGCTCCTTTACTTCTGCTGGGAATGTAAAACGTTTCACCTCCTGTGTGCGAAGAAATAAGTGAGTAAATCTATCATGAAGAGAAAAACTGCAGATCTAAATTGTCACTGGTTAATTTCCATCTGCTGATCAAATAATGTAGATTAATGACCAACTGTTTCAGCTTCATTAAGAACCTGTTTATGGAGTTTAAGGTCTCTAAAAATAACTTGTGAAACCAGGAATTAGGAAGAGTCAAATCTGAGTCTGGCTTCACTTGATATTTAATACTCAGGAGCACAGACACAGCTCTAAAGGGATTATGCAGATATATTTCAGACATGTTTCATTTATTTTTTTATCAAAAATATAAGCAACAACTACAATAAGTGAGAAAATCGCCGTCGGCTCGTGTGCAAACGACACCATGCAGCTCCTGACACAAAGCTGATAAACTGTCTGTGTAAATCACACCTCTTTTTTTTTTTTTTTTTTTTTTTTAAATGGATTAACAACACTGTTGAGTGGAGAGGATTAATTTATTTCTTATCTACGAGTCAAACTCTGCTCCTGACTTAACCTGAACCTCACATCTCCACTCTGTGAAAATCCTGTTGTTATGGAGCCAAATCACTCAGCTCCAGTTTTTAACATTTCTTATCACTCTCTATCATTCTCAAGTCTCTCTGGAGGAGATCTCTATCTCCATAAGACAGGCTGATGAAACACAAGATAAAAACATCCTCATGTCATTAGGACTAAACTAAAACATGGAGATACCAGGGTTTGGTTCAGTTCTGCTGTTGCTCCCAGGTCAGTGTGGCTCCTGCTAAAAGCTTCAGCTAACAGAGCAGAATGTAAATGTGTGTGTGTGTGTGTGTGTGTGTGTGTGTGTGTGTCTGTGTGTGAGGGTCGGAGGCCTCCACATACCTCCCCAGGATCTCCAGCAACTCAGCCACCCCGTTGAAGTGCTCCGTCTCATAAACAAAACTGCAGAGCGGACAGAGAGGGAGGCAGAGACAGGAGGAGACACAAGACAGCAGACGAGAAAAAGGTTCAACAACTGAACAAATGAACAAAGCTGGTGAAAGCAGATGATCTGTAAATGAACATACTGCCTGGAAACTATAAACGGTGGGTAAAACAACAAAAAGAAAACCACCAGGAAATTATTCATCAAGGGACACAAGGTCAGGTTGGAATTTGAAGATGGAAACAAGATTTCTCAACCCGATGATGCGTCACATTGACAGTCATACTGGGTTGAACCTGTAACTTTTCCACGACACTCAAACACGGTGTGAAACTGAATTAAATGCTGTCAGATTAACGTAGCGCACAAGCTGAAATAAACTGAAATAAACAGAAATAAACGTTTCGAAGAACAAAGCAATAAATGCATCGCTTCATAATGATGAAAACTGTTTAATAAACCACGACCACTGTAACTGAGTTCATTTTAAGTTGATGAGGAGATTATTCTCGTATCAGATCAGCCTATAAAAACTATTTTTTTGTCTTAGTGGTGTAAGGGAAAGATAAAAATGTAATAATAGTATCAGCTCCATTTTGCAAATGTTAAATAAGATGTAACTAAAGTCTTCCATGTCAAAGCATATCCATGGAAAGGTCCTGTAAACTGTTTTTAATTTGTCATTTGTCAATTGTCTACATGGACTTTTCATCCAGATCAAACTTAGTGTCCCTTCAACAGGTGAGTGAAAAGTGTCACCTGTTTCGACCTCACCAGCTGTAACATGCTACAAGCAATCATGTCATCTGCACGTTGAAGTGAAGTGTCTTCTGACATTTGAGAAGTAAATGTGTACTCACCGTAGAAAAATATTATTGATCTGTTTTCGTATAAAAGCCCTCAGCCCCAGGAATTTGCCGTAGATTCTATGCAAGACTGTCTTCAGGTAGTCTCTCTCCCGAGGATCCTCGCTGTCAAACAACTCCAAGAGCTGTAAATACAGACAGAAGAAATACAGACAGAGATCAGGGACAGGAGCCAGGGGAAGGTGAATTTGGTGCAACAGAAAAACACAGACAGTTCAGTACAATCAAAGAAAAACAGAAGAAGAAAGAATATACAGTAACTGTATTCGTTTTGTTTATTAAATGCCAGTCATAATTTCCCACAGACCAAGGTGACATCTTCAAATGTCTTGTTTTGTCTGATCAACCGTCCAAAATCCAAAGATATTCACTTTACTGTCATGTGTGACAAAGAAAAGCATCAAATCCTCACATCTGAGAAGCTAGCAACAACAAGTATTTAACATTTTCCCTTTAAAAATATAACTAACTGATCAATGATTCCACTTATCGACAGGAGATAATATTTGAAGATGACCTGTTACCTGCAGACTGACTCAGCGACTCACCTGTAGGACAAACTTCTGGTCTATGTACTTTTTGGCAATGCTGGGCTGGAATTCCTGACTCTCCAAGAACCGGATGAAGAACTCGTATACCAACTGGACAGAGCAGAAGAAGAAGAGAGGGTGGATGGGGAACGGACGGAGGATGGATGACAGAGAGAGTTGTTGACGTTAAAACAACAAAAACCTTCAAATTTCTGCTGAATTTCCTTTGATCGGCTGGATGTTGTACAGTGAGACTGGTCACAGTTTGACACGTGTGTGTTTTATATTCACTTAGTAAAAACTATGATTAACTTTATACACAAACTGGAGCCAGTATTCCTGCTGTACAACAACAAGCTGATTAATAAACAGAAGAAAAATCTTAAGACTGACAGGTTCCTCTTAGAAATGAGAGCCTTTAAACGAACCCCGTACACACTGGGACTGGACTGGATTAAAAGGAAAGGTCAAAGAGGTCAAAGGTCACAAAAGGAGCAGAGTGGAAACAGCTGGGTAAAGGAAAATGTCAGGGTTGGCCTGAATGTGGGTGATGAGGGAGTTTGACTAGGGGGCGTGTGTGTGTGTGTGTGTGTGTGTGTGTGTGTGTGTGTGTGTGGGGGGGTGTGTAAAAAATATGTTTATGACTTTGGAAAAATTGTGCGAATGAAATGACAAAAAGAAAAAAAAGGTTTTACCAGGAAGCTTCTCCTTGAGATTTGCATCTCATTTCTAAAGGAGTCCTGGGCAGCAGGCACACAGAGAAGGAGGAGGGGAGGTGAGAGACCAGAGAGCCTGGCTCTAGACCTGGACCCAAAACTGGACCAAAACAAAACAGAACCCACCCAACTACCGGGAGCCAAATACAACGGCACCAATGGTACTGATGCTTCTTCAAGGCACAGGTATAACATTTTATAAATGATTCTCTTTCTGAGAGAGATGAAAGAAACCAGTACCATTCTGATGCCTAGCTTAGCATTAAGATTGGAAGCGAGAGGGGAAACATCTCCACACACCTATAGAGCTCATTAATTAACATGCTGTGTCTTGTTTGTTTAACACATACACAAACCGAAATGTCAAAACGGCAACCGGTGGTTTCCCTGGGAGTTACGTGGTAGAGTTATTTCTTGATGAACAACAGACACAGTGACTCTGCAGCATCACAGAATTCTGTTGTCGCAGTATGATTCAAAAGATTTCACAACTCGGGCTGATACAAACGATTATTTTCATTTCTGATTAATCTGCCCGTTATTTTTCAGATTAATTGTTAGTTTGTTAAATGTCAAAAACAGTAAATGCTAATTTCAACTTCTCAAATGTCTTATTTCTTAGAAATTTTAAATGATATAAAACAGAAAAGAGGAACTAGAGACTGTGACATTTTTACTGTATTTGCTCAAAAAATTGCTGAAACAATTAATTGATTATAAAAAGAGCTGCTGATTATCTTTCTGTTCATCAAATGATTAATGGCTTCATTTTGATGGATCTGCAATGAAGCTCACACTGGTCTGCACCTCACTGTGGGTGCCAAGTGTCACAGCAGGGTTGCCATTAGACTTGGGCGATATCCAACACGTTATATCTCGATACAGTCCAGCCCAGATATGGCAATATACGATATTATCACCGGGGGGGAGGGGAGGGGGGGTAATCGTTACGTCTCAAAGCTGTCATTTTTACATTTGTGTTTGTGTACCTCTTAAACTAGATTCAACATGTTAATTAATGAATCCACACACTCACATACACACACACACTTCTTCGGCAGTGTTTACCTGTAAGTGTGGCCAAGAGGCCTCGAGCGTGGGCTCGTCCTCCTCGGGGTCAAACTCATTACTGTCACTGGGCGGAAGGGTCCGGAATATGTTGTGAGACACCTGGAAGACAACACAAAGAGGACACTTAGAACAAATGAGTGTGCGTGTGTGTGTGTGTGGCTGTAAATGTTTGTGTGCATGAAAACAACTCATGATCAACTTTAGACCAAATTCAGGTAAGAACTGCGTGTGTGTGTGAGTGTGTGTGGCGCTGACGACGGCAGCCTGAGGTTGAGCTTCAAAGTCCCAAAAGATGAGAATCTTGAGCCTCCACAATTATAACTTGTTTATACAAGTTGTAAAAATATTTGCTTTCAGGACTTCAGGGGCTCCGCAGCGCTCACATCCAGCGCTGGGTTTTTTTGCTCGACTGTTCAAATACAAATTTAGCTGCTTGAATGTGTTTGTGTTGTACATATTCATTCTCTACAAGCCGACAACACACCGACTGGTGAGACCTGAGCTGTGCCTCTCCATCAGCTCCTCGTCTTTCTGTTACTTTCTTCTACTTTCTCTCTCGTCGCTACATGGAGTCATAAAACCTCGGCAAAGTTTTTGCTCAGGGTGGAAGATTTTCAGTTTACATAGATGCATTTTTACCTCTAAAGATTTATTCAAATTAGACAATTTGTGAAGTGTAAAGCCTAAACTTCTAAATCAAAAAGGTCTTAAACATGCGATGGGTGGCTTTCAGTTGACACTCCCTTATGTTAAAAGGGGAAACACTTGATTTAGGAATGGTTTTTATGCCTGGACTGTAACTGGGGTGTAACACAAGCTTCAAACATTTTAAACATAACCCGGCCTTGGATCCTTTCTATCGTCCAGAGTGTATGAGTCCAGTGGGTTTATAGAATGAGTGCATGCGCCCCCCCCTCACCATTTTGACGACCTCGGGGTAGGCCTGTTCTGTCAGGTAGCCCCGGCTGACGGTCACATAGTCCACCAGCTCGTTGAGCGTGGAGCGCTTGTACTCCTTCATCTTGAGGTCCGACAGCGTGTCCATGAAGTCAAAGACAGTACAGCACTGCTGCAGCTTCTTCAGGAACAGCTCCGGCTGCTCCGGCGCTGGCACGTCTGGGCACACGAATCAAACACACACAGGATACACACACACACACACACACAAACACAGCGGGAGAGAAAGATGCAGAGAAAAGTTAAGTTAGTGCAGACTCCCACAGAAGCCAGAGAGCTGGAACACCAAACTCCACAAAATCAAAGATTTAGAATAAAGACAGTGGAGGGAAAAATGGAGACGTGGGGCGTCCTGGTCGGACAGACTGTCAGTAACTGTGATGTCACTGGTTTGATTCCAGCTGGGACTTTTATCCGTTTTCCACCTTCCACATGGTTCCTGTAAACTATCAAACGAAACTTGATTTGTTTGTTTGTTGTGCTTTACTTTTTGACAAACTAAAGAAATGAAGTAAAAGGCTTTTTCCTAATTACAGAACAATATCTGTTTAAACTTTTTACTAAGGAGCAATTTGACATTTTTTCTTTAGATTTTCTGTGAAGTGATGTTTAACACTTTCAGCAGCAGTAAAGTGCCTCTTTGTTAGAAATAGTATAAGCTGAGAGAGCCTCAATCAAATGATTCCATCTCTTTCACATTATAACGCCTAGAACTGCCGATTTAGTGCAAGCATGAGTAAGTTTTATAGATCTCAAAAAGGTATTTATAGACGGATTTTAACAATAATGTTTGTCACAGAAAACAAAGGATGCTTCTACTGCAGTTTCCTGCTCTGCATTAGCTTTTCACTCACTCACCCTCCCTGTAAGCCTGCTGTGTTACAGGGAGGATGAGTGTGACAGCCTCATTATCTAGCGGTGAGTGTTTCTGACGGGGGCTGAGCTGTCACAAACCATACGGACGTACAGGCAGAACAGGGCGGCAGGTGTCTTTATTCTGATTCCATAGTGACAGACAAGGCGGAGGGTCGCGCAGAGTTCAGACCTGCAGGGAGACGCTCGATGCTCTTCCCTGATCGCCACAACTCAGACCTGATGTTCCCGTCCCAGCAGGACCAGGCCATTATTATGTAAGAGATAAGCTGCTGCTCTGAAGGCAGCACACCAGTAGCAGTGTGTGTGTGTGTGTGTGTGTGTGTGTGTGTGTGTCTGAAGTGCGAGTATGCTCCGAAAATTACACTTCAAAGTGCTCGTTTGTCATTTTGAATTCTGCTGCACTTCATGTTGAGTCACAAACTGCATATAAATTAGTAAGAAACTTTTCCAGCAACAATGAAATGACTTTTTCACCTCATCATCACATGCAGCTGTTCAGAGCCAGTGACTAATAATTGTAATAAAAAATGTTTTTTCAAAATTTTCTAACATTTAATTGACCGATTGATTAATCGATATAGTTGTCACTTATTGCTTTGATGTTAACATTTTCAAACCATTAAGACAGGGAGGTCTCACTGAGTTACATCGTCATCAGTGAGAGTAAACTGAATATCTTTTGACTGTTGGTCAGACAGAACAAAACAGTTATCAGTTACTATTTTCCTAGCAATTTTTACACAAAACGATGAATTGAATAATCAAAAACAATAATCAGTTTAATGGATGATGAAAATAATCATTAGTTGAAGCCCTTAAGATTTCATAAAGGTTCATTTTGGATTTAAGGGCCCAGTATCAGTCAGTGTTTTTGTTTTAGATCAAAAATCAATTCAGCAGGTCAGAATGAAAGGCAGAATTAAATCCTCTTCCTGAAGCTCTGAACATTCAAAGTGCAGTTTCCTGTCCTGGGAAACAACCCTGTGCAGATCTCATCAAGTGCATTTAAAGTGATTATACTGAACATGTTTTGATCCAAATGCCACTAGTTACTCACGACCCGTTGGCCCCCTGCTTCAGCTCAGCTCATTGAGGCAGCGTCCAACCAGGCCAGTCACAAACAAACCCAAACCCCGATTGACTGGCAGGAGTCTTGACTGGCTCTGCAGGCTTTAATCCCCGCTCCACAAACACTCCCCCAATAATACCCAGTCATTTATCAGAGAAATTCAACTTCAACTCTTGACTTTTATTAAAAATTCATTTCAAAGTGAAGAATTTAAAACATGATGGAGAATTACTTTCAGTCTGATGTTGATGGTGCCTCAGTGTTTACGATGAAACAAGGTCAAGCATGTGATATGATCACACACTGATCCAAATAAAACTTTCTAACCAGAAAGTTCAAGTAGCTGCACAGTCTACATGCTCACTCTTTTTAAGTTGCCTGGATGAGAGCATCAGAAAGAAGTAACTTCATGTAAATTATCAGAATGTGAACACAAATTCTGTTTTCAGCTAAGAAAGCTCTGATAAAGCTCTGACTGTCCACAACCTGCTCAGCACCGAACAGCAGACAGACACAGCTAGAGAGCAGCTGATGAACATAGAGGAACATCTAGGAGCTAAAGAGCAAGGTGTTCTTCAGGTTTAAGGCCTCAGTATGTGTGTGGACAATCCTACAATCCTGCACCAGGGGTGGGCGATATGGCATTGGAATAATCACTCTTTCACAGCCTGCGTTGCACTATGGCACGCCCCTAATATGCATGAATGTATTGTGAAATGTGGATATAAAAAGGTGTGTGTGTGTACTTTCAAGATTCAACAGCCAAACACCATGTGGAGTGAAATGCAGGGTGACATATTCTCAAGGCTGCGCTAAAGAGGCCAGTGTGTAATAAAGTATTATAACTAGAATATGAGTAAAAAGTAAGAATTAGAAGAAGAAGAAAATGTACATGTAGTGTATATCGGCTGGGTGTGTGGGCGGGCTGTGCCATTTTTCAGGATGCAGAGAGGTCAGAGTTCACCGGCCTGAGAAGAGCTGCTTTCTGAATCTCTCTGTGTTGTGGCTACGGAGGCGCGCACTCGTGTGTGTGTGTGTGTGTGTGTGTGTGTGTAGGTCCTCGTGTATCGTCCTCTCAGTACAGTAGCCTACAGTACGCTGTAGTTCATTACAGTAATTACTGGCTGCAGGATTCGGGGTCGGCTTGTGTTGCAGGAGCCTAGGCCCCGGGCTCCTGCAGCTATAGGAGCATGTGTACGGCCTTAAAGGAAGCTATTAATAGACAGATAATCACACAGGACACAGTAATCCCTCTACAGAGACACAGAGAGAGAGAGAGCACAGCTAACCGGCTTGGAGCAAGGCGACTGAGAATGAATGTGAGGGATAGAGAGAGAGACTCTACCACTGCTGTGTACATGAAAGTGTGTGTAACTGTACTTACAGAGTGTGAGAGACTGTGTGTGTGTGGCCTAGAATAACCCAGAAACTACCCTTCATTCGCATCAGCTGGGAAGAACCCTGGAGCAGAAATGTTACCACCCCCCCACATAAACACACACGCACGCACGCACGCACGCACGCACACACACACACACACGCACACACACACACACACACACAGAGCCATGTCCATACATCAGCACAAAGAGCAGCCTGTGGCGGGATGCTGCCAGTCTTTGAGCTCACAAATCAAACCATGAGTAATAGTCTCTAATTGATAAGTTAATCCTGTTAATCAGTAAACCGATCATCTATCCCAATTTTCAACGAGACCTTTAACATTTTGATCAATTAACACATTAATTAACAGGGCAGCAGATAATGATGCCAGGAGCTAAAGGAGACATCTTTAAATTACCAATACCAATCTAAAGATGTTCAATTTTCAATGCCATACAAAAGAAAACTAAACTTTATTTGGTCTGTATTTTACTGAGGATACCTGGTCAGGTGACCACTTGAGTAGACAGACCTCTCACTCAGATGACCTGGCCTGATTTAATGTTGAATGCAGAATGGTGGGGATGACAGACTGGTTACCTTGCGTACTGATTACCTACTTAAAACTTGCAATAATGTGGAACACCATGGCATGTAACATGACTGCAATGTCCACAGTTCGATCCCAGCCAGGCACTTGTGATGCATGTCACACCTGTCTCTCCTGCCTGTCTCCTCCCCATCAACTGTCCAACTGTTGTGTGTAAGACTAATGAGGAAAAATGCAGCACACACTCTGCCAGGTTCAAAGGACAATAGCCTTTGAACATAGATCATTATTAGGGCTGAAACGAACAAATACTGACATAATCAAATGTTTGTTCGCATCTATAAAATGTCAGAAAATAGTCCAAAACCAAAGACATTTAGTTAAGAGTTAAATGTCAATTGTTTGTTTCAGTAAATAAATGTATATGTCACCTTAGAAGGAATGAAACATCCAACCTTGACAGTGTCAGTGCCACAAAATGCTGCAATGTTTTTCAATCCACATGCGGTTTGTGAGAACCTCAGTGTGACCAGAGGTTTCACCCCTCCACCACAATAATTCACCACATTACAGCGAATGTTTCCTGGACAGAGGTGATGAAAGTGCACGGCAAGGACAGCGGGACGCATTAACTGGTTAAACATTCAAAGAATCTTTGCTTATATTTTTCCGTCCCTGTTTGACACGTGACCTCAGTCTGAGGCCTGTGACTCAGAGTCAAACCACATGTCACCCACAGACCTATAAAGACCTGAGCTGGTGTTTCCTGCTGGCTTCTCTGCTTGTATGCCTAATTTGTGGTATAAGCAAACTAGTTAGTCAAATCAAAGCTAAATGACTTTATAATAGAAGAAAGCTCATTAACATACCTACACCTGCTCAACTTCTCAGGCTACATGAACCTGCTACTTATGACAATGATTTCAAGTTTAAGCATCTTTAATCTCTCATAAATTCAGCTGATCTTCTGGAGTCGCTCAGATGAACACACTGACCAGACCAATTTGTCGTAAGACCTAAACTGAAGCTCTTCCATGACTAAAACTGCCCATATCACTGAGGGAATTTACTTTTCCCATCCATCTTTATCCCCAAATCCATTTAGCTGGTACAAATGTGATCTTTTTTAATCCAGCAGCCACTGTGGCCGGTGGATGAAAAATGAGGGCTGACGTGAGTGTTTGGCAGTCGCCGATCCACTCCGTCAGCCTCTCTGTGCATAAGCCAACCATCATTTGGAGGATTATTATGGCTGTATCACAGCAGCACCAACAGCTAAAG